GATCAGGAGTCAATCCAACCTAGCATTCTGTCTTGGGCAGTAGGACTAAGTGATGCTATTTAGGAAGGGCATGAAAGCCCAGGCACTTCTTAGTATTTTCTTGTCTTACTCCTCCATCATCCATATTTGTTAAATTAGGCATGCCAGCAGGTTTATCACTTTAAAGGTTGTCTGTCAACCTTTCTGTTGTCTTTTTGAACCCAAAGATACTGTCTGCTTCCGTAGCCTCCTGTGATAGCAAGTTCCAGCAGCTCACTACCCGTGAGTAATAAAAATGAAGAAGTACTTCTCTAATATGTTTTGAGTCTTACTAGCTTCATCAAGTACCTCTAGCTCTAATATTGTGTGATATGGTACGCAACTGGTATGACATTCACCTTACCCTCTACCATGGTTTTTTTAAACCTCAGTCATGTCTTGCATCATTTGGCAATGGCACATGTTTTTGGATTCTCTTCTGTTCTTTGCCCCATCGCTTCTGACTAGTTCAAAATCTTTTATTTAGAAGCAGTTGTTTAAGGAAAATCTGTGTTCCTCAAGAAGCAGCCTCTGGATTCTCATTCATGGGTTGTGGCTAAAGCCAGTTTGAGCATATGCAGGCGTTTGTTATGTTTCTGTTAAACCTTTTTGCAGCTTCAATGTAGAGTATAAATGCAAAACCCAAAACAGCTTCCAGAAAGTTTTGTACCCTGATATTTTTGTAGTTACAGCTGCTTAAGCATTTGATTTTTCCAGGGGAAGTCCATGTTTCCGTCATCTCTTACTGAATCCTGTGGGACAAAAGTAATTTCTCCCCCGCCCACTGTTTAGCTGTGTGTAGTTTCAGTTCTCTTCAGTTAAGTGACATGTGCCTATTCCTTGCTTGTGCTACTCCTTACGTGGCGGCAAAAAGCTCTGTTAAGAGCTCCTGTCTATTTTGTTCCAAATAAAATACTGCATCAGATTTAATAATAATAAATAGATTTAAATGTGTTTTTTAAAATTATATATCTATATCATATTTAATATTAATCATATTTTATATATATATATGGTATGCTATGGAAGTGAAAAGAAAAAGCTCTTTATAAATTAAGTACAACTTCAGTCTCTGATCGTGGCAATGTATCCACATACTGCTGCTATCTTTCAGAGTCTGTGTAGGAATTTACCAATAAAGATAATAGCAAGTTTGAGACAGTTGCTGTAGAGTTGGGTTTTTTATAGAACAGTGGCTGGGAGATATATTAGCTTTTCTTTTGTTTGTTGCACTGTAGTTGCACCAATTGATTCATGTCAGGATTTTAAAAATGTTTATATCTGCACAAGCTTCTGTTATGTATATATAGACCCAAAGAGTTCATGTTCAAGCTCATTGGTTTTCCTGAAAATTGTTGCCAGTATTTTTGCTTAAATGGCATTGTACTTGTGCCTTGTATCTTTCAGACAAGTGAGAAGTAAAATACTATGCCTGCCTTGACACAGTCAAGTTAAATGCAAAAATAAAAGTTAATTTTGAGTTAAATCCAAAAATAAGACTGGGGGCAAAAGAATAAATCCGGGATTATAGTGGCTGGGAACTGTGGAGCAGTTTCATTACAGAAACTTAACACGGGCACGTATGTATCTCGCAGTTTCCTTTGGAACCGTTCCGAGGAACTCTTTTTCTTTGGTCTGTTGCTTGATATCCTTCAGAAAACAAACGTTGCCGAGTTGTGCAAAAGAGGAGAAGGTCATTGATCTGTCAAAAACTCTGCAAAGCATGATAGTACTAGCTTAAAGGAAGGTAGTATATCAAACAGATAGAAATAAATAGCAGCAGGTGACTAATCTCAACTGCAAGATGCACTTGTTCTTTCAAGTTTTTCATCCTGTCCACTGTGTCACCAAATACAGGCTTTGATTAACTGTTGAGAGAAGCAAACTCCAGAGCAAAAGGCTGTCAGCTTCGTTGTGTGTATGAGATGCAATTGGTTAAGACTCGTTTGGTTACTTTTGCTGCCATAGTAATGGAGGAGGCTGCCTCTCAAACATAGGGGACCCAAACCCTGGTCACAACTCCCATATTGGGCGTGTCACCATGGGATTTATGTTTTTCTTTCACACTGTTGCTGGATAACACAGAAGTGTATGTCAGCACCACGGGTAGGATGGGCTTGCTAGCCTCCCGGCAACCATCCTAGGACAACTTTAACCCCAAACCCAGGCAGATGGAGCTCACTTAGTCCTGTAGGGCCATCCATCTCAAGAGAAGGATACTCTAACTAAACCTATGTCCTGAGGACTTCGCTGTCACTGTCCAAGCTCGCTCGGCCCTGGAAACAATATCTCAGTTTTGGCCATATTGACTAGCATCAGTGATCCGTTCTGGCCTCCAATCGGGAGACATGGAGACACGCCGTTCATGACGCTGCTGCCTCCTTTGAGAACGCACGTAGAATCAGCATGGAGGAGAAAAGACAACGCAGAAAGAACCGCGCCTTCCCAGTACCGCCTAAGGAGACTTTCTGCTGTGCCCTTGGCAACCGGACCTGCCTATCCCGCATTGGCCTTTTTAGCCCTCAGAGCGTTTGCAGCAGGTGTGGGTAGTGTCCTTCCCTTATCTTCGTTCACGAGGCCTTGCCATGATGATGATGATGATGTATGTCAGCATCTGCCTTAACCACGGTGTCTCAAGGGATTATTTGTTTCTCAGTGTGCTAAAGAAGAGATCATTCCCTCTTTTTGTTTTTTGTTCTTAGGATTGATGTGTTGTGAAGGGTCATATTCCAATTAGTTTCAAATATATATAGTATTGGCTCTGTACTTTCATGTGTTTTCATGCATTGAGAGAAATTGGGAAAGGCAATTAGAACTGGATTAGATGTCTATGTTTGTGTTGTGGCTATCTGGAGTAAACAGTGTGCAAGGCCCACCCCCCTGGGGGTGTGTGCTTGTACGTGTGCATGGAGAGGGAGCTTATGTGCATAAAGAGTAAATACAAAATTATCCTTACTATTGTCAAACAATCAGGTCACCTGTGCTAGTTACATTTTGTAGTGTGTGTTCTATGTGCTGTGTATGCTGTGTATATGCATATACAGAATATTGGAATATTGTGTTTAGTTCTGGGCCCCTCAGTTCAAGAAGGACAGGGAATTGCTTGAAAGAGTCCAGCGCAGAGCCACAAAGATGATTGAGGGAGTGGAGCATCTCCCTTATGAGCGGCTGAGGGTGCTGGGTCTCTTTAGCTTGGAGAAGAGGAGACTGAGGGGTGACCTCATTCATGTTTATAAATTTGTAAAGGACGAGTGTCAGGAGGAAGGAGCCAGGCTCTTCTCAGTGACAGCCAATGACAGGACAAGGGGCAATGGGTGCAAGCTGGAGCATAGGAGGTTCCATGTGAACATGAGGAAAAACTTCTTCACTGGGAGGGTGCCAGAGCACTGGCCCAGGCTGCCCAGAGAGGTTGTGGAGTCTCCTCCTCTGGAGACATTCAAAACGCGCCTGGACGCGTTCCTGTGTGACCTGGTCTGGGTGATCCTGCTCCAGCAGGGGGATTGGACTGGATGATCTTTTGAAGTCCCTTCCAACTCCTAAGATTCTGTGATTCTGTGATACACAACTGTTTCAACAATTTAAAATGTGTTTTTACGTTTTCAGTAGACGCCTGTCCTTCTGCAGCTAGGTATGTGCTAATTAAAGGCCTGGTTTATAAAGTTTACTGTTAGAGGTGTGATAAGGTGTTTTGTTTTGCCATAGTGATTTAAAGTTGCTTCTCTAGATCCCCCAGTACCATAGTGCTTGTCACTTTCTCAAGGTGCTTTTATACAGTGGAAAGTCAAAGTTCGTAACTTCACAAAGGGAAACCGCATCTTTCCTGCAAAGCCTATGTAGGCTCCCTCCTTGCAATCGTGTTCTTGCCATTTTGGGCCTTGGGAACAAGTAAGTTAATTGAGGTGGTAATCTGTAAATTTTTCATATGCCTCTAATTTATTACATGTTTCCTGAATATCACTTCTATGTGCATTCCTTTACTTGGTATATAACACATATAAAACTGAACTGAGCACTGAATATACCACATCCACAAGAGTTTATTCCAGTGCTTCAAGATGGCCTTTCTGAATGAAAGCTGCCTTTTACAGGCTAACCTGGATGTAGCAGAGTAGCTGCAGAATGTGCTTACTGTTAATTCCATTTGAAACTGCTTTGGGGTGGAGTTTGTTTTTTGATTTCTTTTAATGTTTTTAAGGTTGTTTTCAAAGACTTCATAGTGTTAGGAAATGAAAAAGTACCTTATTGATTGCATGAGTTTGTTACTTTGTTGCACTGTAGGAGCCTATTTTGGGGGGTGGGGGCGGAACCAACCTCTTACTCAAAGGACACTTGGGTCCTCCTGGCATCGATGGCAGTACTCCCTCTGACATTATTAATGCCTGCCTTTACCTAAAATAAGTACAGTAAGGTAGGAAGAGCTCTGAAGAACCATGATGACCTCAGGGAGGACTGCATATTGATACTTGTAGAAGCTGTGGGCAGCTACGAGGTCTGAAGACCGTTTGTCAGGTGTGATAAAGAAAGTTTTTTTTAAAAAGAAAAAGCTTTCTTGCACCACCTGATGAAATTAAAATTTGCAGAGCAAAGGTAGTAGCCAGCATTTTTGTAAGCAAAGATACTTGAAGTAAAACCTCTGCAATCAGATGGGTTAATCATCATTCAACTTTATTCCTGAAAGCAAGTGATCTAATCTGACACTTAACGTTTTTAAACTTGTAGCTCCTAATCACTTTCTGGTAGATGAGTGGAGTTTTGCTTAACAGGTTTAAGTGTGGTGGCAGTAGATTTTTTTTTTCCCAGTAATTTCCTTTCAGGGTTTCCAAAGATCTGTGACTACTGATTGAAAACTGTTGTGCTAGTGGGTTTGGCTTATTGGGTGCTAGCTAAGCCACAGGTTTAGTGGCTATATCTGGCCAATTACTTTTTAAGCAGTAATAATATCTGTTTTATTCTGACTTTGACCTTTTTGCTGTTTTCCTTAGACAATCTGCTTCATCTTGATTCATCGTCATTCCAGGATAGTGGTATCCTTGGGGCTCTCTCTTAACATTGATATGGTACAGAAGATTTAAAATCAGGTATTGTTTTGGGTCCCTCTTTCCTGCCAAAATGAAAGACAATCTAGAACTGAATGTATTTTTTTTTCTTGTGTGATTTACCTTAATATTTTGATTCTTTCAGCTGATGTTCACAAGGAATAGAGTCACGTGATGTATGAAGGCAAACACATACACTTCTCTGAGGTTGACAATAAGCCCTTGTGCTCGTATAGCCCCAAACTGTGCAAGCAGAGGCGACTTAACGGCTACGCCTTCTGTATCAGACACGTTCTGGAGGACAAGACTGCCCCCTTCAAGCAATGTGAATATGTGGCCAAGTATAACAGCCAACGCTGCACCAACCCCATCCCCAAATCTGAGGACCGTAGGTGAGTTGTGGTTACCCATCTGGGAAGTGGGAAGTGGCTAGGACATAGGCATGAGTTTTCTTTTAAGATGCTGCCTGGTTTCAGGATGAGGGAGGAACTGGCTGGAGTGTATTGAATTCCAGGATGTTCCTTTGATGGTTTTGTTTTAAGACCAGTAAACTTTTATTTTATTTTATTTTATTTTCTGTGGGAGTCAAGTACTCAGAAAGGGGGCAGTAACTTACTCCCAAGGAAGTTTTCAGGAGAGTTCATTGCCTTTCTCAGATTCACCATAAACTCTGAATCAAGCCTGCTACACAATACCTGCTGCTCTAATGAATTTATTTTGTCACTCACAGTATCTGCTCTTAAAAAGGCCTGCTTGTTTGGCCAGCTGTGCCAAAAGCACACTTCCATCTACTTTTTCAGGACAAACAGTTGAAAATGCATACCTTTTGGGCTTAGGGAGAAGTGACACATAGGGATGAATCCAGAATTGCAATACAGTGTTTGTGATTTGATACTGATCTGTAGTGGTGTATTACTGGAACAAAATAAATATTACCTGCTAAAAGATGATCCAGTTGGGAAAGTGCTGTCCACTGCCTTTCTTCTTTGTTTCGTCCCTTCCTCTCCCCTTCCTTGACCAAATGAAGATGCCCAAGGTGCCCAGGTATTAAAAGCCTTGCAAGAGATAGTGCTTGAAGTTATTGGAGAGCTGGGAATTCAAACCAGATTTCCTGAATTGCAGCCCATACTGCAGTAACCACAAGGATATTCTTCCTTGATCGTTAAGACTTTCTGAACATCAGTCTCATTGCTTGGGTTGAAATGGCAGAATTTGTCTGATCTTGTCTGCCAGGAATATGTGACTTTAATTTTTCAGAGTCGTTGCTGCAGGTTTTGCCAGTAACACAGTATTTAATTAATGTGTGTGTTAACTATTTGAGGCTTGTTCTGCTAGGAACGATTTTTTAAACCTAAAATATAAACAAAATGTGCCAAAAAAGAATCAAACCACTCTTCACTGACCTTTCACATTATTAGCTGCCATTCACTAACCTTTTGCATTATTAGCAGTGTTCCCACTGTGCCCTACATATAACTTCCTTCTCAGCTCACAGCTCCCTCTCTTGTCTGAAACAACAGTTGGACTGTGCTCTAAATTAACTTGCACTTCACCTGCCATTTCAGTTGAGGAGACTGATGAAGTGAGAAAAAAACATGAATGTTTGTCAAAAGCTGTAGGGCAAATGCTCAAATGGCACAAGATTACAACTTTAAGCTGTAATTTGACAGTCGGTGACTGTTTCTTTGCTACTCTACAATTGAGGCTCTTTGGAAACAGGCTTACAGAAATGATCATGGAAATTGTTAGCGCAAATGGTATGCTGTAATTTCAGATGCAAGAGCTGACTGAGCCAGAGTTGCTGTTTACCAGGGGTCATACTTAAAAACAATAGTAATAATAGTACTTAATGGCTTTTTTTAGGTCTCGTGTTCCCATGGAATTTGAGATTTTTCTTTACACCTTGAATTGAGTTCACACTTTGTTCTTTTTGATTTTTCTCAAGTTAAAGTGAAGTGTGGTCATGACATCTGGTGTATGTTATATTAGAATAATTCAGTTGCATGTCAAGTGTCACATTACAGTACTTGACGAGGACAGCAGGTGTCTGAAGGAGAAAGTAAACTTTTAATTTCAAATGAGAGGATGCGGTAGTTTGAAAGAATATTTTAAAATACGGCTTCTAAGGGCAGAGTTTAATTTTAACAATAAAATTTAATGAATGCTAGTGATAAGACTTTGCGCTAAACTTTTTTTTTTGCTAGGCAAACCTGTATCTGTTTCTTAGGAGACTTTTTTCACACTCTGTTCGATATAAAGATGTTTGCTACGTCTGAGGTCTTCACTCGTAGTTTTTAATTTTCTGCGTAGGAAATTACTGTCAGATGGTCATTTTGTCACAGTTTTAGACATGTAACTGTGCATGATCAGAAGCAGGCTGTATGATGCTATGACAGCTATCTTCTTACATACTTGTAAAGATTATAAAAAATGTCTTATCAGGGTGCATGCATTATGTGCCAAAAGCTTCATAGTCTGTCCACAGATAATGAAAAAAAATTATCATTTGACCCCAGTCAAATGAAATCCTACTGGCCATGAAGATGTTTAATATGCTGCTATATTATTAGATTTCTTGTTAACCATTAACATTCTCCAAATTAAATCTATTAATAGTGCATGACTTCATTGCCTTATTTGAAGTCTGGTTTCTCTATTCACTATCTTGTTTTTAAAAGGATATGTGTGGGAGGATACAGACATGGGTTCTGTATCTGTATTTCCTCTGAACACATCTAATTCTATCTTATCCAAAGTTCAACTTAATATTTAAGTAGAGGGTTATTACAATTCAGTTGGGTTAAACACAATTTTATCTCTAATTCACCTCTTTCAAGAGAATCTTTAAATATTTTGTTAACATGCAGTTTATTTTGACCTTCCTTTAAATAAGTGGCAGAACTAGATACCAGTCTGGGATGTACTGGGAAGCAGAGTGCAGTTATATGTGAAAAACCTTGCTGTCTGGATTCTTGCCTTCCCAGTGATGGGGGAAGTTGTCTAGCTGAAGCCTTTTGTGTGCTTCATGTAACAATAGTTTTAATGGATATCAACCCACCGCTTTTACTGTATATGCTTGCTGCATTTGACCTCACCAGCACAGAATAAGAGCCTTTGGCACTGAGTAAGGAAGGGGAAAAAGCCTATTTTAGATAGTCAATGTGATACCGTCAGCTGAAAATAACTCACAGGCAGAAGTGCCAAATTGTGGCACTAAGACAGGCACATCAGAGTTGGCTCTTGTAGAGCCAGCTTGACCCTAACAGTTTTCATGCTCTGAGCCATGTGAAAGAGACTGTGCGACTTGAAGGTGCTATTCCAGTCTTCGCAGTAATCTGTCTTCCATGGAGCATGAACTGCTAATGCCTTCGCTGGCATTACGTCTGATCCAAAGAGTTTATTGCCTTAACGCAGCTGGTTATAGACTGGTTCCAGCGGAGTCAGTTAACATCTGCACCAGGCTGTGCAACACCGTGTAAAGTCAGAACCAGTCTGGGCCAGGGGCAAGCAAAAAGCCATCCTGGAACGTGAAAGACGGGCAAGTGGGTACGTGTGTCTGCCTGGCTCCGCATGGGACCAGCTAGAGTCTGGAAAGGCCAAGGCTGAGTTGATGCTAATAAATTTTGCCTAGGCAAAACTGCCTGTGTGTAGTCTTCTTTACCCAGGGAAGACTTAAGTGTGCTTCCCAGCTGCTTCTTCCTCTTTTTACTCCAGTGGGCAAGGTGTATCAGCCTCAGCTATGCTGGAAGACAGAGAATTGATAAGGTCCAAAGCACAGAGCCACGTCAATGTGTACTGGAGTCTGCAAGTGCATGTGATTTGTATTTTCATTATGTTGTAGCCTGGCATCTGTGGGTTTGTGTCTAGAGGTGATGCCTGCGTAAGATATTGTTGGCTTTCAGTGATGCAGTATGGTCAGTTGTAAGAGCCAAAGCCTTATTTTCTGCCATGTAAAAATTATGCTGTCAGAGTCAAATGAACAAGCAAACCCCTTAATAGCCTAAAACCCAGAGAACGTTAGCAAGCTAATTACCTTTTTCATAGGTTTATTCACATTTTCTTGCTTTCATTTTGGTTTTCACAATGAAAACACAACTAGGCGGTTTTACCTCCTTGCTCCTGCACAAGCACAAGGTGGCAATATTTAAGTTCTGAACAATATAAAGGAAGCATTCTCATTGAGCAAAACTCTCATTTTATTGGAATAAGAGGGGAGAAAATTCCGTTGTGTTTGTTTTGTCTGTTTATTGTTTTTTCTTCTGTCATACTGAAAATGCTGTTTTAACTGATCTCAGCAGCGTTGTTCAAACAGTATTTTAAAAGTGCTTAATTTTAATTATGGGAATAGTGCTGTTGACTTTAAGGGAAGCTTTACTGAGCCCTCATTATATAATTTTATTTTTAGAAGTGCATCTCTCACTATGATTTCACAGTGTTCTAGTGTCTTCTAATAAGGACTCCACACATTGCAGGCTTTCAGTTTGCCTCATTTAGATGTATGTACTACTTACAACTTAATGTAATAAAGGAATGATTTAGACAATAATAAGTAGCAGTACTTTTCAGCTTTTTCTGATTTGTGAATCCTTATGGGCATGGATCCCTCAAATAACTGCATGTATGGAAATAGTTAAGAAGGATACATGAATTTGCTTTTTCTTTTTTACCTTTTATGGACTTCTTAGAAGCAGTTCACACATTGATGCTTTAGTGGTGGAACTGCAAGTTGAAAGTCACTGAACTGAAGTGTAAACCTTTTGGGGGGTTTAGTTTGGGCTTTTCTGTTATTTTTTTCTTCACAGAGACCAGGAATAGTTTCATTTTAATGTATTTGTTCAACAAAACTTACTTTTCTCAGATTCATGCTGATCAGATTCTATACCTTTATGGTATATTTTCTCATCTTGTCCTTATTCATATCCATGAATACCTTCCTGGATATGTCCCTGGTTTGTTCATTAATACCTTGATGTAGACATCCTCATGTCTTTGTTTTCATCTCTAAGCTGTAGGTTATAGGTTGGATCCTGCAAGGGCAGAAGTCTGATTGCGGTGACATTCTATAGAGACAGGAGAGCCTGCCTGTGTGAAACAGGAAAAGGATCAGATCGTGGTTCTTACACTTCTATCACTGTTTTTTTAATCAGACAAAAATTAATTGTTTACTTCTTAGTTATCTGTGGCCATAAATTTTAACTTTTAATTTTCATTACAAACTTTCAAAGACTTTTTTCCCTTTTTTTAAATAACGTGGCTTTTAAAGCTTTTTTATATTAGAAGAGCTTAAAGTCCATCCTTGTGGATTAAATGTATTCCTGGTATTGTGTAAACATTTTCTAGCAGAAGAGAATTTCTTTTAAACTAGATTTTTGTTTTTGAAGAAAGCATGCAGCTGATCCTCTGGCTACAAAATTCATCATGTTAAACTACTAAAACAGAACTTAAACATTTATGCTACTTGTTCATTAAGTGCAAATAGTGACTCCTCTCAGCAGGTATCTTTAGTGAGATTGTCCATATGAGAAACTGTTCCCTACTACAGTGGAATTCATAGCAATAATGTGTGCATTGATGAAAATGTTAACTGCTTCCAGTAAAAGAACAGCTGAATGAAAGGAAGTAGTCTTCAGTGTACTACTTCTTGGGAGCTTTTGAAATGAACAGTTAATGGCTTGAGTTCTTACTGTTTTATGTATCACACAGTCCATTTGCTTTGTGTGCTTTGGTTTGTATTTACCCTGTTAGAGAGTAAATATTTTGAATGGTTGTGCGTGACTCTCCTACCAATAATGACTGAAGATTTTTGTATTTAAAGATTACAAATTGTTACTTGTGTAATTTTTTGTTTTCTGTTACAGGTTGGGGACATCACAGTTATCTGTTGTGTTAAAGAAGTTGTGTACGCTTCTTATAAAACCTCTTGTGTTTTGATCTAAATTTGCATGAAATGGGTGTGCATGGGTTTCCCTTTAGTGATGTCTGTTTTCTTCAGATTTTACTTAAAGAGTTAATAACTCACTGCTTTTACTTTTCAAAGGTACTGCAACAGCCACCTGCAGGTACTTGGCTTTATACCGAAAAAGGAGAGGAAGAAAAAGAATGATCCCATAGATGAGGTAAAGGTCAGGCATCAGATGGATGCTATGGCCTTCAGTTTGACAGTGCCCACCCTGGCCTTGAAGATGCCCAATGGACTGGATGGCATGTCCCTCTCCCCTCCAGGGGCTAGGCTTCCTCTCCACTACCTGGAGGCAGAATTAGAAGACCCCTTTGCTTTCAATGAGGAGGATGATGACTTAAAGAAAGGAGCAACAGTGAGGAAAAAGTTGCAGAGCAAGTTGGCTCAAAACCGGCAGCGCCAGAGAGAGACAGAGATTTTAAAAGTTCGCCAAGAGCACTTTAGTCCCCTTCCTGCACCTTTGCAGCAGCAGCCTCTGCAGCAGCAGCACTCCCATCTGCCACCTTCATCAGCTTCGTTAAAGCCGACAGGGCTACCGCAGGGTGTAGTCTGCAAGTCACCTCAACCTCCGAACACCAGCCTACCAATGCAGGGAGTGGCACCCACCACACACACTATAGCACAAGCCCGGCAGTTGTCTAACAAGAGACCTCTGCCTCTCCTGCCACCCGCTAGAGCTCCTGTCACGGACCCTCCAAGGACTGATCGGGTCCTCATGAAAGCCACAGCCTTCTCTCCACACTCATCCTGCATGAGCCGACTACAGAGACTGGTGAAACTGTGCACTCGAAAACAGCAGCTGGACACTGACCTGTTTCCACATTTAGGTGGGTAGATAATAGGTGCACTGCCTGCTTATTTTTTAACCTGAAACCAAAAGACAAAAAGGGAATGTCTTTCTAGCCCTGTCCTGCATTTGTATGTGGTTCTTACTACTTCTTACCCCGGACTAGGTAATACCGTGGTGCTTTCTTTAGCCCTGTTCTCTGCATAGGAATACCTTGAAATACAAGGGAATTCCTGGACCCATAGAATATGGTTTATGGCATTTTGGTTGTTTATTCTTATTAATATCCCATTAACCATTTGAGAAGTCAAACTAAAGTGCAGAAAGCATTGCTTGGACTATGCAGACATCGTAGAGAAGGTTTGCAACTTAAGTAGTAAAGATGGCCCAGCTGTACCTACATGAGTGGACAAGGTTAGTTTTAATGTTAAAATATGTGACAAGTGCATATTACAAAATGAGTGCAAATAGAAGTTTGGAGATTTGCCCCATCCTTCTATGCAGATCCAAATTTTCGGTTGACTTGACTGGGAAAATTGGAACATAAGAGAATTTTTATTGTCTTGGTCTATTCTGGGCTCTGTACAGTGTGTGGATGAACAAAAGCAAAAGATTACTGCAGGAAGGCAGCACCATTACCAAAGGTCATTGGAGGGGTGGAGTCTTGTCCACATGCCAGTGCAGGAATAGTCTCCTCCTTACTTACTATGTAGAAGCCCTAATAATCAATTGCTGCTAGTGAAAATATAAGTAAAAATAACCAACTTGGTGCCAGTGCAGTAGTGCTTTGTGAAGCTTTAAAAAGGCAGCTGACTTCGTGGCTTATTTGTCTGATTATGTATACAGACCTAGGTATACCTTATATGTCCTTGGTATCTCCATCACCCTCCAAAGTTGCTTTTCTTTTCTGCTTAGTTTTGATTGTACTTTTCTAACAAGTAAAATATTGACAGGGGAAAAAGGAACCAGGAGTCAGTGTGTGATATGAGAGCAAGAATGCCATTTATGATGTTTAAGGAAAAAAAAAGAAGACTTCAAGTAAATCTGGATGTTCTTCATGTAACATCTTATTTAATTGCAAACATCTGTAATTTTGCTATTTCAATTAACTTTCTTTTAATTTGCTGTTAAGATCTGCCCTTTGGCACTCATGGGGTGGCTTGACGGTTTGTTCAGAAGATAATTAGCATCCCATAGCATATCTCCACAGGACCTTGCTCTTCAGAAAACTGCTTTGATGGTCCTACACGTAGTGCAGGTCTGTTGAGGAACGGCAGCCCTAGAGGCACTTCTGAGTGTCACAGACCCCAGTATCTTAGGAAGTGACCTGCGTTTTGGAAGACTGTAGAAAAATCACTTTCTGTGTTTAATGTTTTACATTCTCAACTGGTGAAGAGAGTATGTTTTCCTAAAAAAGAGGCATAGTGAAAAAACGTTATACCTATAAATGCACATGTATGCAGATGCATAACTGTATGTGTGTGCAATTAGAACATTTTATATTTGCCAAAGTAACAGAATTCACGTAGTCATTATTATTAATAATAATCATTAATATATTTGTTATTTAGTCATAATGTGCCTTAATATTAAAGACTAGTTTCAGAGAATTTCAGGATTTCTGTTTTAGGATAGAGGTGCACTAGAGATGACTGCACAAATCTTCAAAAAGATGCAGCCAGTTTTATGTGTACCTACATCAGAGCCATGTAATTGGATGTTAATGTAACTGCAGCCTTCAGTATCAGAATAGCTGAATCTGGATTATTCCTTTGTTTCTGCAGTGCCCATTAGAAGCAAAACGCAACCTCTGATTTTATTTTTAAACTTTGGGTAAATATTTTGTTATATGGCATCAATTGTGGGCATCTTTATTTAATGGTTAAGTTATTTTTTTGTTCCTTTATAGAAGGGGCGAGAGTAAAAAAAACCAAACATTTGAATTGGAAGTATAATTCTGGCATTTTATCAATTGTCTGAAGATATTTTAATTTAGTTCAAATGCATAGCTTAAAAATAGGAATGAAGAATAGAATCTGCAGGATGCTGAAGTTCCTGAAAAATAGGGTTTCTGATTTTTCTGGTTTATGTTAGTGTTGCTTCTAGATGAAGAAGGCACTCCTGATGGTTGTATTCCAGGTGTGTGTGTCTTGTGACTGTGAAAGCAGGTCACCAAGTACTGATGCTTTTCCCAAATTCAAAGCATCTGACTTCAGAATTATTTCAGATACAGTTGTTTAGTTTATTTTTAGCAAAAATACAGTGCTCCTTAACTCTGTCCCAACTGCTGCTCTATTTTCAAGGAGCACACAAGAAAGCGAAAAAGTCATAATGCTGGCTTGTAAACGCAGCTACGGGATTTTATCCCACCTGCTCCAAGGAACTGGCAAGAATTCCACTGGATATGGGAATGAGAATAGGAAAAACTACAGAAGATGAAGCTCCAGATAAAATGTTCTACCTGAGAATTTACTGGACTCTGTTTCTGGCCATCCTGTTCAGTGATTGTGTTTAGCTTGACTAGTTGAAGCTGCTGGTGCAGATAAGTTGATCCTACTGCATAATCATTAAGCGAAAGCATGCTGCTTAGAAAAAGTGCTGCTTAGAAAAAGTGCAGGACTATTTGCATCTCTCTCTTTAGATCTCTTTTCATGCTAATGTATGCATTTGGCAGGCAATGACAGAGCCGGAGCAGAGGAACATCCTGGGTAGCTGTGTATCTATCTCTGTCCGTGCTGCTCTATCTTACGGTTTTCCTGTTCTCCCTGTGTGTTAGCACAGAGCAGGGGTCAGAACACAAACAGAAATGAAAGTGGCCTATTTAGATCATATAGTATTAAAAATTGCCAGGCAGTCAGTGCGTCGTGGCAGGGACTTCTCTCTTGCCTTTTCTCTGAAGATTGCATGTGCTTGGTATGAAAGCTTGTGATATTTTTCTGTGGGTAAGGAAGTTGGTGATTTTTTTTCCACTGCTTATGGATAAAGAAGCCAATAAAGATTTTAAAAGGAAAACTTAAATTTTACAAAAATCAGTGCATGCTATTTGCACACTGTAATGGAGCTGTTACTGTAACTTTTCCTGTGTAATTGAGAATCTTACATGATTTAATCAAACATAATTATGCTTGTGACTATACTACACATTTACCTTTTGTGCCATAGGTTGTGCTGAGGCTTATATGAGGTGGGTATGCTTTTCATCTGAAAACAAATTCATGTTTTCAATTCCCTTAGGGCTGGATTGGTCCGAAGACAGTGGAGAAGAGTTGGAGGATTCAGAGCAAACCTCCCCTTACCAGGTTGCGTGGTCTATCCGAGAAAGCCTTGGCTATGAGAGACATGAGTGAGTATGATTCTTTAGTATTCGTGCTGGTGCGGATGGAATAAATCATGTAAATGTGAGCTTCATTTCAATTGGAGTCAGTGGAACCTAAGTACTTCTTCGAGGGCTTTGCTGAAACAAAGGATTTTTTGAACTGACTTGTCTGTAAGAGCTATGAAACAGCTTGTCGCCTTCTGTCCCAGTTTCCACCAAACTTAGAGACCTTTGTGCAGTCTGTTATCAGAAGGATGCATCAGGAAAGAATTTAAGCTTATTTTTCTAAATTTGAGTTTAGTGGGATTTATTTATGAACTTGTGTGCCTTGCTGAGTAAAGGTATTTTCTGAATGTGAACCAAATGAAGGGAGTTGCTATTGGTTTCTTGTCTTTCCTACTATTTGTGAATAACTTTGTTAGTAGCTTGCTACATTTTACTCATTAATCCTTATGGTAATTGTGCAGGATGTGGTTTTAATGTGTTTTTATAAAGGGCATGGCATTTCTTTTCATAATTAATTGTTGAATAAACCTCTGTCAGATAGTTGGGAGCATTGAAAGGAAGTGATTTGATAGAAGGAGTAAGCAGGGCAGGTATTAGCTGCTGATGCAGAAAGGTTTACAGTGTTTACCATACACTGCTACGTCATGAATCTGAACTTACAGCAAGATGTGGTAATATATGTCTATTAAGGTAAATTCTAAGGTGCAAAGCTAAAGCAAGGAGTCCCAAGCATAGTATTGTAACAAAACTGACGCATGTTGATAACAAAAGGAAACTGGCGTCTCAATAAAGTTTGGTTGTAGCTTCTGTAATGTGACGTAATTTCACTATGCAACTGGACTTTTTGATACTACAACTCTCTCCCATTTGTTTATTTTTTGAATATCACATATAGAGTAGTGATGTTAATGATCTGTTATTTTACTGTTACATGGAAATTCTGAAACTTACCAGCAGTTGTTACCATCTCTAAAGATTGTCCACAAGGTGAACAGCAAAGCTGTATCTCTATCACGAGGACAGACACCAGGATACTAGATACTGAGAGCCTTCAGTGAATCAAAGCTTAGTAGCAGTGTGTAGACTTTCCTTTTTTAAAATAAATGGTGGTTCTGTTATGAGTGACCATTGTTTTTTAGGGCATCAGCGATCAGTGAGCTTTCACAAGCATTAGATTTAACTTAAAAGGCAGCTTTTAAATAAACTGTTTTGGGAAAAAATGAACAGACTTTCAGACTGTTAAATCACACAAAATTTTCAAAGCAGATGTATCTATTAAATAACTTCCCTTACACTCTTTTCTCTTTGATATTTGATCTGGTTCTTCCATAGATCCCCGTTTTTTATCAACTTACAAAGGTCATCTCTGTGTGTTTTGTCTTCTATTTGTTTTAATTCCTTTGAATTCTTCCTACTCTTTTCACATAGTGAGAGAAAATAACACCTTGACTTGACATTTTCTGTTCCATTCTAGTGTTTTATGCACTTCAATTAAACACTGTCTTAACTAAATTGTCATGAATAAATTTTTGTATGGTATTGGCTGCTTTTGTACTTCCATCAGCCTGCTCAGTGTTAGCTCTTCAGCAACTTTCCTAGTTTTGTTCATGGATAAACTTTGCTACGCTCATACGGTGTCAGCCTTCTAAAACTTTAATTCCTATTCTGCAAGCATTTTTATTACCTGAAGTATTTAATAAAAACCTAGAGGTTTGTATTACTTGAAAAGTTTCACTTTTGCACTTTTGAAATGTGGTCAGTCTGCTGCTGAAGGTGAATTACTGTGGACTATTTCTTGGGTGGTTTGTTTTGTCACAATGACTCTCTCTTGCTAATCTGGTGGTGCAGACTGGTGGCTCCTAACTGAGTAAGCCAATGAGTTGCTACGACTCTGAATTTTGAAAGCTAATTGTACCAGAAAAACCAAGGGAGATTGTTTCTCCATTGATTTCATTTAGATTCCGAAATCCCATACCTAAACCTATGGGAATTCGCTTACTGTTTTTCATAGTAAAATTAAAGCTATTTTTTCTTTTGAAAAATTGGGTTCCTGCGGTTGCAGGATTCTGGGATGCAGCGCTTCGAGGCAGGCACAAATGTCTGGGTTCAAATGGTGGCGCAGGAGTTGGCTGCAGGCGCAGTGCAGGGAAGGCTGCTGGGGTGGAGGAATTCCTCACGGGAGCAGCACTTTGGAGGAAAAGGGGGGGTTGTTCCCTGCCGCAGGTTAGGGAGGCTTCACCCAGATGATTGGATTACAGGGTGTTGCAGCTTAGAAGAACAAATGACTTTAAAACAAAGTAGTCTTTCACTTCCTATGCTGAAATATAGATAAAGTGAGCATTTCAAGTAGCAGGTTGGAAAAGGAAATGTGGGGATTGGAGTCCCTTCTCATGCCTGCTCACTCAAAAGAGTGAGCTGTATTGTCAAAGGTGGATTGAATAACTCCCAATAACTAGGAGAACTAAAAGGAAGAAGGAAAGGTTCTTCAAATGTCTCCTTACAGAGGCTTTTGAAGTACAGCTGCAGGTGTGTCTCAGAGCAGAGAGCATGTTCTCCTGGTTCCCTGGTGGTGCCTGCCTGCTCGCGCTGCCCTTTTGCTCTTCCTTTCTGCTGCTTTGTGCTGTCTTTGTTTGCTTCAGAAACACTCAGCAATAATTCCCCTGATTTTGATACATGGCAATCTTAAAGGGAAGGGTTGGGAAGAAGCATTTTGGATTATCAAATGGTTTGCATGCACTTTCAGCAACCTTTTAAAAAATGAAATGCCACACAGTAAGTTGAACTTCAGAAGTTACACATGCGGCTTAAGAGAATAAACTAAATAGAGGTTGGTAAACCTTTTTATGAAAGGACAACAATAAAAGTACCTTTCGGTTTCAGTACTTGCCTAGCAAAAACAAAAAAAAGGTGGTGTTATTGTGATGCTTTTAGGTTTCTTTGAACATATAAATGTGTTTTGTTTAATTTTGCTCGCCTGGAAACAGAATTCTGAATAGGCTTTTAGAAACTGTTTGCCTCAAAATAAGCTTCTGTCCACTGTAGGCATGGTTTCTTTCTACGTCTTGTATATATGTCTTCATCTGCTTTTTAAAAATGATCTCATAAACAGCAGTAAAAATACTTTACCATATGATGACTTTTTCCTGTATTTCAATGGGAGGGAAATACAAAGTCTCAAATGTAGAGACATTTGCATTAAAAAATAGCCCACCCAAAAGAAACGCTTCCCCCCCCGGAATATTCCTGTCTTTTGTTAATTTGTAATCATATTTAAAACTAAATCAGTGGGTCTGCAACTTTGCTTAAAAATCTTGGCCCAGAGCAGTAATGAAACAGACCTGTGTTTAACTCATTCCATCCATGTATTCCTGTTTTCTGTTAATACATGGGAAGAAGGAAAATCTGTATTAAATAGCACACAAGTTTTTCTAAACAGTAGACATCCTTTCCTAAGAGATCTTAAAAGTGTATTTTAATCTTCAATGTGAACATGTTTTAAACATTACAGATGTTAAATAGTTTTAACAGGTTGTATTTGCTGCTAACCATTTAATTGCAGAGGTTAATTACTTCTAATTCATGGTTCTTGAAAAGAATATGTAATCTGCTTTAAGAAACAAAATACATAGTATGGTTGACTTTACATAAGTAAACTTGATAGAAATGTGCATTTGTGTCAAGGCAGTGTTTGCTCCTGCGGAGTTTTCATGGGCAGCCTTAGCGGAGGTGGATGCAGTCTCTTAAATTTAGCTTGCCTTTGAATGGAGTAAGATTTTCCAGAAAAGAAAGTAGGTCTTAGTCTTATTGCCTTTTGGGGACAGCTATTCTGCCTGAATTTCTGGATCTTGCTTTATTTAGTAAATATTATGGCCTGTATTTCACATCTGTTCTATCGTCAGCTGCTTGTGGCATGCTTTGCTGTGTGCAGGTTTGGATGTCAGCTCATTCAGTCTCGCTGGACAAGCTTTGCAGTCTGAACCTTGGGAGCTTTTGATTTGGTTCATTTATTTGGACTTGTTTTCTCCCCCCGCTGTTCCTTTGTTTTTATAGATAGGAAAGTTAGCAAAAAGCTTCTCTGTTCTATAAGGAAAAACTTCAAGAAGAAACTGAACAAAGTCTGCTTTGCTGAGATTCAGTGCTTGCTCTTTGTTGCTCCATGAACAAAAAAATAATTCTGCAAACTAGTGCTTGTTGTGGAGGACTTTTGGGTAGCTTCATGGCCCTTGTTGTTTTAACAAGTCCCAGTGATGATTTTACTGTGTGTCACGATTTTTACTTCATTTAACTGAATGTGTTGACATGGTTTGATGGTCTTGTTGATAAGTGCCTGGACATTCAGAAAGCCGAAATAAATGGGAAAAAGCTTTCTTAAGCAAACAAAGACTTGGATCAGTCTTTCATCTGGTCATTGTGTAGGCCTGGTTTGATTTTTCCCTTGGTACCTTTGGAGTTAAATTTCTTCTCCATGGCTGTACCGTAACTCAACTTTAACTCTGCAGTGAGGCAAAGGCAGTTTCAACTGCTAGCCGTGTGTGTATTTTGGTTTAGGAAGGAAAACTCCACCTGGCAGAATAAGAGGAATTGGAAAAGGTCAGCGGTTTTGGTACTTGTTAGAATTTGACCATCTTCTCCAGCATGACCTTTCTTCAATAAATTTCCACTACGTAGTTCCCCGCCCTTGTCCTCTCCATTAATTGCACTTTGATTTAAGAGTTTGTCTCATTTGCTGAGACATTTACAGTAAATAAAGGTTAACAGTATAGATTTTTTTTTTAACAGCAGGCTCCAGACATTTAAATGTGTCAGACTTGATGATGAATTGATGTAATCTCTAATAATGACATACTAAGAAGAGTAACTACCTTTAGAGTTCAAAAGGAATCCTGCTTTTACCATTTCTCAAGCATCCCTGCCTTATTTTAGCCTTTGGATGTTTGTGGTGCTAGAAGATTGATGCCAAACTGAAAACTATGAAAATGACAGGTTAGCTTCCTTGGGAAAATAATAAAAAATACTTAAAGACCATTTGTTTTTATTTTCCGTCCTTCAGGTCCGACGATGACAGTGCGGATGACAGGAGTTCCAGGGTGACCAGACTTTGCACTTACTTTCAGCAGAAATACAAGCACCTCTGCCGCCTGGAGCGGGCAGAATCCCGTCAGAAGAAATGCCGGCATACGCTCCGGAAAGCCTTGCTGCAGGCGGCCAGCAGAGAGCCGGAGCGTGCTGGACAACTGATACAGGAACTCCGAAGAGCTACGTGTGCTCGTACCAGGTTAGACCTTACCCTGTGACCGCAGTATCCCGGGGCCTGGACAGGGTGGAGATGGGGGGGGTGTCCAGCAGCTGAAATGCTGAACTCTGAAACTGGTAGGCATCCACAAGGCAAAAAAACCATGACATGACACATAAATGCCTGTCAGTGGAGTAAAATAAACACGGCATATAGTGTTTTCCATGAAGACAGGCATTCTCCAGCTTTGTGTTTTAAAATGTAGATTGTTTGTTCAGCAGTATCTGCGCCTGATGTCTTAAATATCACAAAATAAGTCAGTGGTCTGCTAAAATGTGTTGTAATTAATTAATCTATGTATTTTTGCTGCCTTCAAATATCTGGTGTTTCACTACGCCTGCAGTTCACTGCTTCAATTCAGATTTCATTTTTCAGACAGCTTTTGCTGAAAAGTCTGTACCTCCTCTTAATTCTTTTCCCAGCAAATCAAACTTAAGCTTATGCTTTTTGTGAGATTTAACTCAATCTAACATTAAATGAAACTTGGCAAAAAAATAAATATCTTCTAATAACTGTGAAGGTTAGCTTCTGTGGGAATTCTTTCTAGATAATGTCAATATCCCTCCAGCTCTTGGCATACTGAGAGTTAGTTCATTTGTATTTGTGCAGAAGCAGAGTAAGTCTGAACCCTGGCGTTACGTCAGGTGTACCAGCAGCATCCTTTTGCTGTTGTAGTTTTGCTTCATAGGATGTGTGACTGTGGGGAGCAGGGGGACTAAGAGGAGAGGTAGGCTGGAGCAAGGTACTGAGAGTATATTCTGGTTCTGGGTAGCTTTTGTTGCTAGACTATGGGCTGTGGTTCATGACTTTTGAAGGATTTATTGTTGGCAAGGTGGAGTGATGCTGAAGAGCTGCTTGGAGGTGTGATGTAGAGGTACACTACTAGTTTACAACGTTGTGTAAATGTCTCCAAACTTATACTACAGCAAAACCTTGCCAGAACTGCAAGCTCTTGCTGTTTTTTGGTTTTTGGATTGTTTGGTCCTTTTTTTCATTATTTTTGCCTTTTACTACAAAAAAAAAAAAGATTGTTGTTTTGGGTAGACTGGCAAGGCCAGGTATTCCTGTCATCACTGCTCTGGTTCATTTAAGTAACCACAGAGTCTTTTCAGTTACGACATTTTTCACAGGAGTAATATTGCTAACTAAAACTTTGCTCAGTCAAAGTGCAGTTGATGACAGAAAGGTCTGAAGGAAACAGTCAGGCTACAGACAGCTTTTTGTCAACCTAGAAAACAACGTGTACAGAAGTGAAATTCAGCCCTGGAATCGCCAGCTTTACCTACATGAAGGTGACAAATGCCTGGAGAGCAGGCTAACACCAAGCGAGCTGTGTAATGCTTGCAGTACACATCCACACTGCTGTCCGGTCGCCTGCTTGCAGCTCAGGCTCAAAGCATTGAGGGTGTGCTGAGGAAGCACTCAGCTCTGGGCACCTGCTGGTGGATTGGGCTGTAGCACGTTGATGAAGGAGAGCTTTTACCCATGTTGAGCACGCTCAGACTCTGCCACTCCAGAGCTCAGTCTAAGTTTGCCTGAGCACATGCTTGCATGTAAGCTCTGGGGATGCTCGGCATGTTTTGATTTATGAACAGGCTTGGAAGTGCACTTGACTGACCACGTAGGCATACTCAATACATTGTATTCTAAAGATTGACCTCATTTTAAGGGTCACCTGTGTTGACACTCACCTACTGCTGTCCTTGGCTCTGTTGCAGGGTGTTGAGATATCTACATGGTAGTAGCACAACAAAGCACCTCTCATTACAATTAAGGCCCTGTGAAATAAACAATAATCCTGTTACTTCAGTCACACCTTCACCTGTCATTGACATCTATTCTGTATCCCTGTGTAGAGTTTGGTAGTAGTGTGCACCCATTTGGATCATAACACACACATACACGTGTGTTAAAATTTTTCATCCTACTATGCCATATTCAGTGCTAGAGTTGTGCTAAGTAACCACCTGAGACTGGTTTGTTTTTTTTAATCTCTAAACTCTTTATGCTTTTTTTTCCAGCACAAGCCAAGCGAGGCAGAGAGATGCAGAACCAACAACCTGCAGTGGAACTTCGAAGGGAGAGCAGTGCACTAACAAGGCCCTTCCATTCACCAGACATTGTTTTCAGCGTATCCTTTTAACTCTGGGAGTTGCATTCAGGCGTGGAAGCTGTTCTGTTTTAGCATTTTTTGTTTTTCTGTTGTTTTTTCACATTGACAAATATGTTTTCACAAAGAAATACCTATTCGTTAGTGTATTGTCAACTACTTTGCTTTTAATTCGTCTGTGTGATTTGTGTCTGTAGACAGTGAAGATAAGTAGTCTGCCACCAGTGTCTGTCATAGTCACATCATCTTACTTTGTAAGCTGTATTTAACAGATGCAAGAAGCCTTTACAAAAATGTTCATCTTTCACAAACAGCGTGGTTTTCAGCCTCACAGCATTCATACAGTTCTTGGTAGGTTCCGATAGACAGCTACCTATGAAGGGTTTATGAGAACAAGTTCTTACACATAGTGTAAAAAGATGGCTTACACTGACTAGAAAGATGGAAATCGGATATTTCGCATTGTTTAAAGAAGCAGAATAGAAGGAGCCACAGAATCCCAATTCTAGATAAGGAAGCATTTCCACTGCTGTGGATTTCAAGCAAGCCCAGAAAGGATGTTAAGAATAGTTGCATAAAGATCACAGAAAGGAAGGGAGCACATTACACGTGACATCTGATTCTGAAGAGTATAGATGGGCAGAATTCTGACCTGGAATACTCAAGAATTCTGCAGACTTTGTATTTTTTTGTTGTTATTTTTAGCTGAAGAATTGTTGGCGCTTTTGTTGGAGTGACTCCATTTGTTGGAGATTTTCATTATGGTATTTGAAGTGGCTGGAGTTTGTCTATTCCAGTTGCTGTTGGACTGCAGCAACTTTCCAATCTTTCTGGTTTGCAGATGTCTTGTTTTCTTGGTTGATTTTTGCACGTCCCTTGAAAGTAGTCTGCAGAACAGTTCAAAACCTCTCTATGAGAGAGCACCATGGTGCGCATCTGTGTCTGGGATTTGATTCCCAACATGATTCTCATTTCTTTTTTTTTTAAAAGTTTAAGTGGTCTTGCTTGTTCATGTGCATAGGGCAGAGAAGTCAAGGCTACTGCTTTTGCATTTGTGCCCATTTTTTCCATCTGCACTTTCTTCTCTATGGAGACAGTCTCTCCTAATATGAGCAGGATCTTGGTTCTGACCCATCTGTCAAAGCCTGCCATCTGTTCTGTTCTGCAGGTTTTTTACTTCTTTTGTCCTTTCGTTTGTGTTTTAACATTTTCCAAACATACGTAGTGATGTTGAGGTCTGAGAACTGTTCAAGATGGAAGGAGTGTTTCTAATGTTGTTTGAAAAAACACAGTGAAATATCTGTTTGATTTGCTCTTAAGTCTGGAAACATTTTCACTCCTGCAGGGGATTTTTCTGAAGGAAATCTCAGCAAGCTTACGTTTGGATTTACTTGACCTTTCTGTCTGATTGCACATCTTTTTTTCAGAGGAACAGGAAGGATCTTGAAATTTCTTTGTCTGTGCTCTAAAGATAAATGCCAAGAATGCACCTTAAAAGATTGAATTAAGAAATACTCTTTCTTTAATGTTTCAGTATGGATTGTCATTAGTCTGTAAGGAAATAGTCCTGTTGACTACTCTGTTCCAACTGCTACTATTGATCTATTGATTAGGACTCCAGGAAAAGGCTTCTTTTTGCTAAGAACTCATTAGTGAAATGGCTGCTTCCATAAAACTATCTCAATATATAATAAAATCATTAGAGATTCTGCATGAGTGCAGTTTTTCACTTTAAAAGTTGGGCTTGAGCCTTACCTAGCTTTGAACTTGAATTATGAAGTTAAGTTACTCATTAAAAATAGCACCGATGGGCAGATAGAGTTGAAGGCTCTGATCTTCACCAGATTGATAAATCAAATCCATTGTTGCCTCATGTGTTATTCCTGATGCTGAAATGCACAGATATCTTATTGAACCGTTCTCAGCAGCTCTTCTCAAGTTGCACAGCCAAGTTTGCGGATGGTCAACAATGCTCTGTGCCAGTTTTTGACATTACACATCAGACACCTCTGTGTGAAGAACATGCCAAAAAAATGGTAAGTACAAAGCCAAAACTGTAGTCATTTGTGTATTGGGGTGATCAGGAGTTTTAGCCCAATCTTTCTCTGATCTCTTGCTTGACACTAGCAAGCTTACAACCTTAAGAGCTCATTTTCTTTTTCTTAAGAGGGTAAAACACACCAAACATTCCCCATTAGTATAAAGTATGTTGTGAAAATCTTTTACGTACTTCTGAGGATATAATAAAGTGTATGTAATAATTTCCTTCACTGGAAGAAATTTGATTCCTCTCTTGAATCAAGAAATAGAAAATAATTGTCAGAGATTCTGTGGTCATTTCATTTGGACACACTTCTGGTCCTTGGATGTGCGTACAGTACGATTGTGGTATGGTGAGAACACTGCATCTCAGTCTCGGTACACAGAGCCCAAAATATTTTCTAGAGGAACTGTAAATAGCAATTACAAGTACACAAATGATGGTTTTGCTACATCATTTACCTTTTGGTGACTGTTAGACTTTATCGTTAGCCTCCTTCAGGGATCTGTGGGTCCCAGAGGAAAAGCAGTAGCCTACTATAAGTTGAGAGAATGCAGAAGCTAAGATTATGTCCTCTGCACTCCTTTTATGTCTTGCATCCTCCAGAACGAAACTGCGAGGATAATTCAAACCCGCCTCTGTCTTTCCTCTCCTTCAAGGCATTATGCATAAACTGTCATTTTTGGGTTTTATTTTTTTGTTCTGTTGTTGGGTTGCTATGGGTTTTTTGATATTGTTTTTGTCCAGCCTCTCCAATGCTTGTGAATTCTGGAGTTTTCTGGATTAAAATGTGAGGGTCTGCACTGCACAGATTTGTATGGGATTTTCTCCCTCTCCCAGGCAATCTTCAGTGTGCCTCTTAAGGTTTACCTCTGTAGCATTTACAGTCCTTTGCCATTCCTGGTATGATGGCAACTGAAAACTGATGATGGTTTGACACATTTTTTTAATTGGTCTATGACTGCTGTTCAGAAGCAATGAGGCCTTAGTTGTTTACCCACATCCTTACCCTAGTCCTACAGTATTAATTCCATTTCCTCAGTGCTGTCCCTCTTTTGTGGCAGTGAGCAGTTGAGAATGCTGGCTTCAGCAGCTGCACACTATCCCCGTTATCACCACCTCACAACAGTGTTCGGTCTTCAGTACTTACAGGAATGCTGCCAAAGGATAGTTTTGCACTGATCTAGTTAGGGTTTGCTATGATGATTTTTAAAGTGACATTGCATGTTCTCCTCTTTAGTGTACCTCATAATTTGCTCTATTTTTGCCATTGGGATCAGTGAGGAAGGAAACAGCCTAATTTTCATAACCTGCATGGGTGTAAGTTAGTAGTACTTCTTGTGTTACATGTGAATGTCTGTGGAATGCCTGGGAGGAAAAAAGCAAGGAAAGTAATACTTGTTCTTAATATGCTCCCATTGCTATTGTTTTATTCCCAAAGGACAATTTCTTGAGAGGTGACAGCTCCCGTAAAGTTCAGCACCAGCAGCAGAGGAAACCCAGGAAAAAAACGAAGCCACCTGCACTTACCAAAAAACACAAGAAGAAGAGAAGACGAGGCCCACGCCGGCCCCAGAAACCCATTCCTCCTGCAGTGCCGCAAGGGAACCTCACCATGCCTGCCAGTGTCTCACTGCCAGTAGAGATGCCCCACATACGGTCAGTGGTAGTCCTGCCCCCATTTGCCCACAGCTACCTTGACCATTGTCAATGAGCACTGTAGGGAGATGCAGTGTTGCTGTGCTGATCAGCATCTGGAGCAGGGCTAGAAATTGCATCTCCATGTGACTGCTGGAAAAAAACAACTTAGAGTGTGTAATTTCAGTTTTGAGCAATTATTGGTTTTGATGAATAAAATGTCTTGCTTCTGATGCCCCATCTTACGTATTTAACCAATAGACTAAATGTAAGCTTCTTAAAGAAACTCTGAAAACATTTTCTCCTAGATGATGGGGGGAAAGGTGTGGGGAAACACCCATTATAGACAGATATGCATTCATAGTTGCTGTTTGGAGGTATCAGAGTTGAATTCCATGGACTAACAGTACTTTCTGTCCAGGAGCCCCTCCACACCAGAGCTGAGTGCCGATGAGCTGCCTGATGATATCGCCAATGAAATCACAGACATTCCACATGACTTGGAATTGAATCAGGAGGACTTCTCTGATGTCCTGCCACGGCTGCCCGATGACTTGCAAGATTTTGATTTCTTTGAAGGTACCATTCTTTAAAATTTTATTTTATTTTATGCTAACATGAGCACAGTCAGTGAACTGAAGGAGTGTTTCTAAAATGCATTTTGAGGGGTTGCTTGCTTCCTAGACAAGGAAGTGTTCATTTTCTCAATTGTTGGTGAGCTCTGAAGTAAAGCAGACTTTAGGAAGACCGGTGCGTGTAGTTCTGTACTTGCTTTTATAATTACTGCTCTGAAAATCCTAATTGGTTTAGTATTTTAATAATTCATTTTAGATTTTTACTGCCTGTCAGTGTTGCAGTCTAATCAAGAGTATTCTCAGTAATGGCATCTTTCTGCCATCGAGTGGGGCTGGAATCACAGTCAATGTTGGCCTTTGATAAGAGGAGAAGAGAGTGAGAATAAAATCTTTAAATACATTTTTGAAAACTAGCTTTTGATCAGAACAGTGCCTGAATTTCTGGATTCTAATGTTCAGTACCTATCACAGATAACAAAGAAATTGGAACAACCCGGAGTTGGGGTATGTGATTTCTTTGGTCATTTTCTGATATGACATGACATCAGACTGTGTTTGAGTTGAAATTAATCTAAATTATACTGACTCTGTAAATTTCAGGCCCAGGCTGTAATGTGGTAAATAGAAGGGAGTTTGTGGACTATTTGTGTTATTGCAGCATTGAAGAAAATCTTACTGAAGCATTTTTACTTTAAGTCTAGTGAGTTTGGGAGGCATATTGTATTGCACGTGGAAGAGGAGGGTGGAGAGAGGGAATTCCATTGAAGAGGGAGGTGTAATTTCTCGTTTTTCTTACCTTGCTTACCTAGTGAACACTGGTGAAGTGAATTTTCTGTGTACTGCAAGCCATTCTGGAAGGTTATCATACACCACAGCTCTGTAGTGAACTGTCTGTATATCTGCATCCTTAGAGTGCCAGTGACAGGCTTACCCAAGAGGAGTGTGCTAACTTCTGGTGTCCCTGTTTCTGCAGGTAAAAATGGAGATCTCCTTCCAACCACAGAAGAGGCTGAAGAACTGGAACGGGCCCTACAGGCTGTGACTTCTCTTGAGTGCCTGAGTACCATCGGAGTACTTACACAGACAGATGGTGTGCCAGTTCAGGAGCTGTCAGATAGAGGGATAGGGGTGTTCTCTACAGGTGCTGGAGCTCCAGGAATGCAGTCCTTGAGTCGAGAGGTTAACACGGATCTGGGGGAGCTGTTGAATGGGCGTATAGTACATGATAATTTCTCCGGTCTGGAGCTGGATGAGAACTTGCTCCGTTCTGCTACCTTGTCCAACCCACCTACGCCCCTGGCAGGGCAGATCCAGGGGCAGTTCTCAGCCCCAGCCAACGTCGGCCTTACTTCTGCCACTCTGATAAGCCAGAGTGGCCTTGGGGAGAGAGCCTTCCCAGGACAGTTTCATGGACTTCATGATGGCAGCCATGCCTCCCAGAGGCCCCACCCTGCCCAGCTGCTGAGCAAGGCAGATGACTTGATCACCTCACGACAGCAATACAGCAGTGACCATTCACACTCCTCACCCCATGGAAGCCATTATGATAGTGAGCATGTGCCGTCTCCCTACAGTGACCATATCACGTCCCCTCACACCACATCCTTTTCTGGCGATAACTTGGCAGCTACCTTCTCAGCAGAGATGCCCATGATGGCACAGCACTTGCTCCCAACTCAGCTGGATGTGCCACTTAGCGGGGTGGTCAACCCCAGAACTCACTGGGGAAATCTTCCTGTCAATCTTGGGGACCCTTCTCCGTTTAGCAACCTTCTTGGTGCAGATGGACACCTCCTGTCCACCTCCCTGTCCACACCACCTACCACCTCGCACTCAGAGACCACACAGCCTGCCTTCGCCACTGTGACCCCCAACAGCTCCAGTGTGCTTCCGGGGTTACCGCAGACCAGTTTTAGTGGCATGGGTCCTGCCTCTGCTGAACTCATGGCCTCCACCTCCCCTAAACAACAGCTCCCTCAGTTCAGTGCAGCCTTCGGGCACCAGCTGAGCTCCCACAGTGGCATCCCCAAGGACCTGCAGCCCAGCCACAGCTCCATAGCTCCTCCCACGGGCTTCGCAGTGACCGGTGCCACCGCTACCAGTACCAATAACGCATCCGCGCCCTTCACCACCTCCAACTGAGCTTGTCTGCCTGGCTCTGTGCAGGTAGATGGGGGACCTGTGTTTTCTATCTTTCCGTTTTCCTTTATTTTTTCTGTCCTTCCTTCCCTGTTTTTTTAAGAGGGGGTTGAGAAGAAAACCCCTCCTTCAGTACTGACCAGGGTTAGCCCTCTGTGAACCTTGCTGTAGCGTTCACATGTGCTTGTTATGCACCGGTGCTCATTTATTGCAGGCAGGTTCAGCGTTCCCCAGTAATTCCTTAAGGATACAGCACAGTTACTGGTTGTAATTGATCTTAGCAGTAAGACCTAGAAATGGGAAGATACCTCAGATTACTGATTCATGTTACTGTTTCCTAGGGTTTGGATCAGTGCTTGCCATCCCGTTAGTATCTGGTAGAAAGTTTTCCAGTGGGCAGAAGTCTCTTGTTTTTGTTTTTTTTTTTTTTTAATTTACTTTTTTCCAAAGGTAGCATCTGGCATGAGAAATTTGGCTACATGCATTGATCAGAGAATGGTGCACCGAAGTCCTAAATCAAGATCATGGTTCAAGGATGAGTTTGGCAGTTTCTTAAAATAGTCTCTTGACCTCCTCTTTGTGCATGTGTGTGTTTGGGGTGCAGGGAGCAGCAGTTCCTTTTCTTTTGCTGAGGAAGTGGGAGTTGTCCCCTTCCAGAACTGGTCACTCTTCTTACTGCATGCTCATTTTTGGTTTTATTATGATGATTTTTAATTCATTGAGCAGCAAGGGGATTAGTTGACTGGTTGCTCAGAAATCTGAAGGCCCATATGAAGTTAGCCCATGGGAAAAAAAAAAAGAAACACAGAAGGATTGAAATAGATCATGGATTAGTGAAGATTCCTGTGCAGAAATTCCCTCCCTTCCTGAATTACCGTGGCCTTGTAGCATTGATGATTTGCCTTTTCAAGTGTGGCTTTGTCCAGAACTCCTTCTTTGACAGGCTGACAGGTATTTCCCAGCTGAAACTGGAAGAATTTGGTTGGTATTCTGCTCATCCACACAAGTCTAGGTCAGACCCTTTGGTAAGTTTTGAATGGATGGATTGAATGGATGCATTTTTCAAATTATGTCTAGCTACCGAGACTTTCTGGGATAGTTTTCCCTCCTTCGGGAGCCATATAGTTTTTTCGACACTTGTAGTAGGGTTTGATGCTCTGTATGGGAAGCTGAATGTATGTAAGGAACTAGCAGGTACCTATCAGCAGTCATGCCTAACCAAAAGAGAAATCAGTAAAGCAAAATAGATAAGAATTCCTTCTATCTGCAGGACACTTTTGCTTTTACTGCCCACACGCTAAAGATAGTATTCAGACTCTTTGGTAGTGATTTCAGTTCTTAAAGAAAGGAGTCCACTAGCTTTTAAATTTTTATTTTATGTTATGGTGGGGTTTTTTTTAATCCAAGAGATAAAAGCAGAAGAGATTCTGAGGTGTTTACTTGCATCTCTTTATCAGGAAGGGGAAAAAAAGGAATTTGCTTGTGACTTTATAGGGCTCAAACTTGCTACTGTACTCTGACTGTAAAAGTAGCTCCTACTTCACAAGTCTCTTCTTGGTTTGTTTGTGAGATGCAGGTGAGAGAGAACAGAAAATCCCACATTCAGTCTCTTACTGTAGAAGACAGATTTCATTCTACCTGCATGTATCCTAGTCTAATTGAGGAAATAGAGATACCAAGCACATGTAATAAGAAGGCCTAATAAACTGTTTGAGCAAGGGGTCATTGAACGAAGTTTAGTTGCTATAGGAATTTTGTTAGCATTCTGGCCTACAGTAAAATCTCTGACCCAAACCTCTCCTTCTGTCTTGCTAAGGAACAGAATTTAAATGGGATAGGTCTTGTGTCTTCTTACTGTCATAGCAATCATACTATCTCTCTTTTCTTGAAAGATTTGTTCTCCTTAAATATAGAGGAGTATGGATGATGCATATGTCCCTTTCTGAAACTGCAAGTGTATGTGGGTGGAGGAAACAAAAATTCTTTTCATGCTTCTGTTGTTATGAAGTCCTTATTTCATACTTGGTGAAATAGATCTTAATAATATAAGCTGAATATTTTTAAGTGGTGATTTAAATATGTTTGTAACATTTAAATGTTTTTAAATCATGTAAAAAGTTGAATTGAAGCATATGAAATCCTGCTTGTGATTGTCCTGCTGATTGAGGAATGCCCAGTGGTATTGTGAAATGAGGCAAATCTGACAAGGCATTTATTTATTTTTCTATTATGTTTCCCATACTTTGTTGAGGAGACAACTGTTTGATTTGCAAATGATTTTTGTTGTGTCCATATACCTTCTTCAATGTGTTTGGATGACTGGCTGAAAAAGTGGAGAACTAGTATACCAAATGGTTAATTCTTTAATCTGCTTGTGTATTCATGTCATTTTAGAGGATGTTAATTTCTAGAAATTGGCTTCAGGACCTTGGTCTTGAAATCATTCTTATGCCCGTCAAACTCTTTAATGAAGCTGCAGACAGTGCAGTGTATTTGCCTCACATCACATTTCTCTTTCTTAGCAGTTGCCAGGAGGAAGGGAGGAGAGTAACTGAGACCCAAGTTCTGCTTGCTCACGTTCATATAAATTACAGAGGAGCTCTTTGGTCTAAGGTTACTGTCAGTTTTTACTGGTCTAAAACAGAACAGAACGCAGCTCCTAATCTGAGCATGGATTTAGACAGGGGAATTTCAAAATCTATCAAAGCTATGTAGGTCCGTAATTCCCACTGGAAATCAATGGCCATTATGTACTTGCATTCCTTTAAGGCAGCCTGGGATATCAACCCTCTTCCCCCGCTTAGACTTCAATTTTTGTGTATCCCTCGATGACTCTTCCCTGAAAAGTGACTACGTAACATTTTTCAGTGAGCAAACTAAGTTTGCAATAAAGCTGCACTTTTGAAAATAAACTTTGGTTTGTATGCATTTCAAATAGGAATCCCTCTGGCCTGTCTGACACAGAGTTCTGAAATGGGCTGCCACTCTTGGTTTGTCCTGGTTCACCTCCTGTTTTTTCACTGCCGCTGATTTTGTGGTTACAGCCTACTGAGCAGTTACGGGTCTTGATCCTAGCTTTACAAAGCGGATCATTCCAGGTGGGCTTCTACACCCACACAACCTGTTGACTTCAGTGAATGAGTGTCTTACTGTTGGATGTGAGAGATCCAACCTGAGAGGTGTGTGCAGCCAGAGATATTTCACACCTCTTCCTCTGGGAATTACTGCAGGTCTGGCTAAGGTAGTCCTTGAGGCTGTTATTTATGTGGTTCCCGAGTAGAATCCATGCTCTCTTGCAAAGGTTTTTGAGTATCATCTCCTCGTGTAGCAATTAGCACTCTAATCACCCTTTTACCAAAGAGCCAGTGTAGCAATTTCAGTCCATTGATTTGAGATGGTCGATACCTGTCGTGCCCTTTCCATGTTAACAAATGAAATAAAGCTAGTTGAACCTAAAAGTTAATTTCTTTACATAAGATTTGAGTTTTAAAGAATTGAAAAAAATTAGACTTAGAATAAAATGCCAGTAACATAATTTTTGGTAATAATAGCACCTCAATTAGTCTTTATACAAAAGTACTTAACACCTGATGAACTTAGACAGTGTACAGAGGCTCATCAGGAACAGCCTCATGCTGGCCTGGTGTGCAAGACACTCTGTAAGACATGCTTTGGCGTTTCCTTTCACTTAGGAAGACTTTATGCCAACTTTGAGGGGAGCCATATGCACTTCCATACCTCAAAGTTGATTTGTTCTTTGGCCTCGTAATTGCTGTGATACAAGAAGATGTATATGTGATGCAAGAAGATGGAAAAGATGCATAATTTTGTCTCCTGCTTTTCAGTTTCTCCAGGTTCTTGTTTAGTTGCCTTCTCGTTAACAGCATACTTCTCTCTGTGGGTGGACATAGAGGCTTTAAATTGATAATGCTGAGAGGTAGCACAGTTGCAAGTCTGTCTCAGACATTGTGGAGAAGACAGCAAGAGCTAGATTGCCTGCTTCATTCAGCAGGTTAATGAAAAGAGGATTTGCAGTTGTATTTGGAAAAGATTGGAAGCCATCAAGAAGCTTATTACCTGGTAGGCAAAAATCAGAGATGGTATTGGAAGTACAAATGCAAGGAAAAAAAAAGTCAAAGGAGAGTCATCCGTAATAACAAAGAGAAGCCAAGGGAAGTGGCACTTTTTTCTTTTTTTTAGAGATGGGTATTAGTTGAAAAATTGGGCGGTTCTGTTGTGATCTGTTAGGCACAGTGTGATGCCACTGGCTGCAGGGACACAGCCGAGGCAAAGGGTCTAGGATTGAACCTGCAAACCACTAATCAAATTTATTTTGAAGCTTCATTTTGCTGTAACCACATCTAAATACAGTCTGGGATTGAATCTGCTTGCCAGGAAAAGAGTCTTATGAAGGAGTGTAATAAATACTGAACAGGTGTCTCCCCTGAGAAGCTGGCCCTGGTGGCTACATACATGTGTTGTTAGTCTGTTTCTGAACCCCAGCTCCTCTCCTCCCTGCAGTGTGGTGGCTGCTGTGCGCGTTTCCCTATAGGCATCGGCAGGCCTCCAGGGTTATTTCTCCCTGTCTTTGTGCTGCAGCAAACTGAATCCACTGGTGAATTCTTCACCAGAATGAGCCTTTGGGCAGGGAGGAGGGAGAAGTTTTTAGAAGAGCTAGCTGCTTGCAGTTTGAATCTTTCAAGACTTGTAGTGTGCAGGGATGGTGACAGGAAGTGCTTTCAGCAGACAAACAAGAGAAAACTTGCCTGCAGTGATCTTCTGCAGTGAGGCATTTGTGTGGATGTCTCAGCAGCTTCCCTGGTGGGGTGTTTCCTTTTGTATTTTTACCATTATATGTGAAGGAATGTCCTGTGCAGGCCTGCTGCAAGGTCCAGTGGTGGTGGAAATATTAACTGAAGGAATAGTTTTGGACTAACGCTCTGACCAGATCTTTAGGTCTTTCTGATCTTCTGGTCACGAGGTCTTTCACATCTCTGGGGTAACATATAATAATGAGGTGGTGTGGGCTGCGTCTCATACCTCCTTTATTTCCTTCCTCTCTACATTCT